TTCAGCATTGAGTACAGAGGTATCAGCATGCTTAGTCCCCTTGCAGATGCAATAGAAATTCAGCATCGGAGTTTGGGGGTGTTTTAATAAGGATACACATGAAAAAATAATCTATTACACAAAAAAAAGGGAGGGGGAGGAGGAGGGGAAGAAAGACAAAGTAACCAAATTTGAGTGGTTATGCAAAGCATACGTCAAAACTTTCAAAGCCTCCTTTTCAGAGAAAAGCTCTTGGTTAGTATCTCTTTATTTTCTCAAGCTCTTCTTGGTGGGGAAGAAAGGGATAGTTCTTTTGTTTCATTTCGAGGCACGACTAGACCATTTCCTCGTCTTTGACAAAACATGCCGTCACCAGGGGACAACGAGATAGGATAACAAAGGTAGGGGAAATACAGCTTTTGTTGATGTTCTCAGGATGCGAAGCAACCGGTCAGTCATGGATGGATGCTTTGGGCTGGCAGGTTGGCCACGACAGCTGTTGCTTTGGACCCTGGCTCACTTCCCAGGTCTGGGATGTCATCTGGCAGGTCTAGTCAGGCTTATGTCCTTTACTGGTGTGTTTTTTTCTTTTTTGGGATTTTTTTATAAGACTGGGAAGAGCTGGAAAGGTTGTTTCATTTCATCAGGCTGATGCCGTGCAGTTGTTCTTAAAACCAGGTAAAATTCCTGGAGTAAGAGAACGAAGAGAGGAAAATAGCAGGAGACAAAAAGAAGCACACAAGGAAAATGAAGGCAGAACGGGCTCTCACATGTATCCGGCTCATATGTTGTCGGTGCTGCAGTGATGGTTAAGCATCTCTATTTGTGTGCTGACATCAGAAGGGTATGATGATAGGATGATCCTCAAGGCTGCCAAAAAAACCAAAAAAAGATAAAGCCTTTGGAGTGAAATGGTAGCCTGTCAGCATTTTCTCCAGGATTTTCTGCCCTGTTTTTGAAGACCCCCATAAAAAGCATGAGAGTCAGAATAGCTCATCCCTTCATTATTTTGCCCACCATTTAGGCCCAGTTTGTATGCATCGATTTTGATGCATTTCAGATCCCATTCTCCTTCTGTTTCCAAAATGAGATTTTAACACATTCCTTGAGTTGCATTGGGAGACTGAACTATGCAATTTGCCTCCCTCTTCACAAACAGATTGTATTTTTATATGCAAATAGAGCATGTAATAAATGTGTATTTACTTCAAACAACTTGGCTAAACATTCAGGTCAGCCTGGTAAGCCCTCCTTATTACAGCAATTGCTCCCACATGCAGGTGCCTATCTGAAGCATGGTCTAGCCTTTCACTGATTTGAGAACAATTAAAAATTAATTTTCTTTCCTTTCCCCCTGGGGAGCTAAAATAGTAAGAAATGGAACTAACTCCAAAACAAAGTACTGATCTTTAAGGTTGGTTTCTTTGAAATGCAATTGCATTCTTATCCCAAAGAAATGTTTTTCAGCTGAACAAGATTTGAAGAGAAGCAATCTGTGGTGATAGAGAACAAGTGTAATTTGGGAAGCCCCTTCATTCCAATTTATTGCAATCTTTCCCATCTGTCAGGCTTCTTGAAGGTGGTAAGAGTTCAGCTCTGATCCAGCTTATTGCTACCAAAAAATAAATAAATAAAAAAATAAAAAAAACCCGCTAAAAGTTAACCAGAGGCCTCAAGGTGACAAAGTAACAGATCTGTGACTGCAGAGACTTCATGGCCAGCTAAATTGCACTTAGATGGCAACTGGGATTGAACACAGGACCTTCAACCTTGTCCTTGGCAAGGAAGGAGAAAGTCCTTGCTCCTTGAGGGTAAGTGAATTTCCAAGTTTGCTGCTTGGTCATTTAATTTCAGTTTTCAGAGTCTGTGGTTCGTTGATACTTGTAGCTTGCAATTTGGGGGCTATGTTCTGTAAAAAGGACAGAGGCCTTGCACTTGAGGGTATAAGGGAGGTTTGGTGCCTTTGATCACAACTGATGGACACTTAGCTCCTGAAGACGATAAGGGCAGGGCTAACAAAGGCAAAAGGCATTAAAAAAAAAAAGCCAGAAAACCAGGAAGCCAGCACATGTAGGGCACTGAACAGTGGATTCTGTGTGGGGCTTTCCTGGAGGGGTTGAGAAGATGCCAATCTCTTTAATAACCACTGAGGTAAACAGGAGAGGTAACCCAAGGGCTACAAGAGCTACCGGTGATGGCTGCAGAGTGTATGCTGTCCTGAAGGAAGCCATTTATGCGTGAAGGGTTCCCTAGCAAAGTTCATGGAAAAACAGATGTTTCTACGATTCTCAGTTTCCAAAAGGCAAGTTTTGATAAATTAAGTGAACTAGTTAGTGAAGTCAACTGGACTGATAAGACCAAGAACTTGGGAGGAAATGTGGAGGACATTTAAAATGTCTAAAAGTCACAGAGGGTAAAAGTGCCTGCAACTAGTTTTCCAAACAAGAGGGAGGGAAAAAAGAATGGAAAGAAGGGCTCAGACCTATACAGATGAATAGCCACCTTGAAAAGGGTATTAGGTGTGAGCAGAAAGCTTACAGGTAATGGAAAAAGAAAAGGACTGATCAGCAAAGAAAGCTATATCTTGGAGGTCAGGAAGTGTAAGGATAAAGTGAAAATTACCAATAGTTACCTTGCAAGGGATATTAAAGCAAATAACAAAAAAACCCCCAAAACAGTTTTTCAGCTAGCTACACAGAATGAAAAGAAAACAAGAAAAGAAGTGTGCTGGGAAGATGGGGTAGAGGGTGAAGCTAATATAGGCTTGGCTAAATTAATATTTTGCCTCGGTTTTCAATAGGTGGAACACGGGGGCAAAGGTAAGAAGAATGTGTGTGTGCAAATGGAAACTCCCACGTCAGAGGTAGAAGCAAAGCACGAAGACCATTTGATATACAATACAAATAGAGCCCCTTGGGATATGGGTCCGCCCCTTTTTAGGGGAGTGCCCTAGCCACTAGCCTACAGAGCCTTCCTCCCTTGTGGGCTGTGTTTCTGACTTGATGAATCTTGAATATTTTCTAGACAGTGGAGTACCTTCAGTAGGAGGGGCAGAGAGGATCTCTACTTCTATTAGTCTCTGGAACGTGTCTACAAAAAGGCTTATTTCCTCTACAGTAGGGTTTAAAAATTGGGTCTCCTGCATCCTGCACAGTGTTTTTGTTAGGAGAGGATGGAGCTGGGCTGTTCTCAGTGGTGGCAGATGACAGAAGAAGGAGCAATGGGCTCCAGTTGCAGCAAAGGAAGATTAAGTTAGATATTAGGAAGAACTTTCTCACTAGGACAGTAGTAAAACACTGGAACAGGTTACCCAGAGAAGTGGTGGAAGATCCATCCTTGGAGGTTTATAAGACCCGGCTAGACAAAGCCTTACCTGGGATGATCTACTTGAGGCTGGTCCTGCTTTGAGCAGGGGGTTGGACTAGATGTGACCCCCTGGGGTCCCTTTGAACCTATGATTCTCACCACGGGGGAGGGCCAGATCATCTGTTTACCAGGACACCCCTTGGGGTAACTAGAAACAATGGCCACAAACTTACAGAGAGAAGATGTAGGTTGGACAACAGGAAGAACTTCTTCATGGTTAGGGTTACCAGAATCTGAAATGGGCTTCCAAGGGAGGAGGTGCTCTCCCCTACCCTGGGGGTCTTTAAGAGGGGACTGGACAAGTACCTGGCTGGGGTCATGCAGCGCTCTTTCTTGCCCAGGGCCGGGGGTCAGACTCAACAATCTACTGAGGTCCCTTCCAACTCAAAAATCCATGAAATGTATTAAATCTGTTTTAAACACCCACGTTTTAAAAGAGTGGCATGAGGCCTGCTTGGTTTTTTCAGGGAAGGGGTGTAAGACTTTTTAGGAAAGTTTCCCGATATATATTCATAGGTTCATAGATGCTATGAAGGGACCTCAACAGATCACATTGAGTTCTGGGTAAGATGGAAATTTCTTTTCTTTGTGCAGTACTGAGTAAGGAGCATAAGTGATAGGATACAAGACACGTTCCTGCCCTCAGCCTTTTTCTGTTGCCTAGATCAAGGCAAAGGTGGGCTCAAAGAGCTGATCATAGGTAGTTCCCTGCTCCATGAAGAGGGAGCTTTGGATTTTATGTTGAGGTGCCTAGCTTCTTCTATAGGATGCTGAATTGCTTAGGGAGACAACCACCAACAAATTGAGAGATTGTTTCACACACAAAAAAATATATATATTCAGGAAGCATGGACCGAAAATTTAGGACTACCCCCTCACAAGTGAATGCTGTAATTCCAAGGGCACCAAGACTTTTCCTTCCCAGAGTCACTGGGCCATATATTCTTTTCTTCACAGTCTCAAGAAGAGAGGTGGAGACTGTCTTTTCTCACCAACAGAACCAGTAGGTGGGTCTGAAGTCCTGCAGAGCTGGGAATTTAATCCGAGTCTCCCAGAGGAGTGCTTTAGCCCCTAAACTATTATATAAAAGGTGGGCAGTGGCATCACTATGGGGTTGGATCCTCTTGGTGTGCAATAGGCTTGCTCAGATTGCTGACCATGAGCTCCCACCTGCAAGATTAGGCCCCACAAGCGAGCACCTTGTTTCTGGATCCTGACTGGGGGTGAGCTAGAAGTTGATGGTTGTCCTTGTTCAGCCCAGGGCAATTCTGGGCCTGCCTGGAAGCAGAGCGCTGGATGTCAAATTAGGAGCTGCTCAGTGAATTTTGTTGACTCCTGGTGGTGGGGTAGCTAAGCTGGAGTCAACTGAACCAGACGCCTCCATTCCAGCTAAGTCTTGTTTCATTGCAAGTTCCAATTAGATTTTTCCTTCAATGTCCTGATGAAGAAGTCGTTACCAGTTAGTTGGGATAATCCTTTCTGTATTGTGGCCATGACAGCTAAAGGCCCAATCCTGAAAAGAAATACCTCTAGCCCATTGTGTCCCTGTGGAGTGCCAGTGACTTCAGTATGGCACTGAGCAACTGCAAGAATCTGCTCATACTTGTCTTGTCAAACTGGGCCCATTGCTTCCACAAAAAGAGGCAACAGCCACCATTTTGCCACATATACCAAACTCTGATGGATTGGCCTCAAAGCTGAAAGTGAACTCACTACAACCTGATGTAGTAGAGCCAAGGCTCTTTAGGTGGGACTGTAAGAGACTTATTTCCTACTCGGATAAGTACAGTAACACAGGCCCCGGTGAAGGATAGACACACATTACACATTGACTATAACCTCTCGCTCCATCGCAGTTCATATCCGGAAAGGCCTTCGAAGCTTCATCGACTTGTGTTTATTCCAGTTGGGACTGCTTGGCAGGCCCGTCTGAGGAGAGAATCAATGCAACATCTTCATTTCATGTTACACTACTGTGCAGGGCAAGGAGATGTCCTGCTGTTTGGATATTTTTTTTTAAAACAGGGTAAACATAAGTCTTTATTATTGCATACGCTTTGGGCAACCATAAAGCCTTCCAAATTCTTATTTCATAAAAGTACAAACATTGTATGCTTTTCATAATATATTTCTTGTTTGCAAATTCTTCTTTTGTTTTCTTTTGCTATTTTTTTTTCAGAATAAATATTACTACCAGCAGGACATTAAAATATATTATGAAAGATTTATACATTCATCAACTCTGTGGCAAAGGTCATTTATATCACTGAGTAAAAGCTATGAGAAATGCCTTTCTTGCAGAAAAAGGGTTCTTAATGAGACCACCTACTTCTCTCTCCCCTGCTGAAGTCAGTTAGATGTATCAATTATTTGTTTTTTGAGAAAGTACAGTATAATAACCCAGGAACGGAGGCTAGCCAAATACTTATATATTGAGATTTACTGAAAGGGACTTGTGCTTGTACTTCTAGACTGACAGAGAGAGAGAGGACCAAATTCTTTGCTGACAAAAACTGGCATAACTCTATTGACTTCAATGAAGCTACATCAATTTAAATTAGATGAATGTGAGGCCAGATTTTCAAACATATTTAGCTACCTAAATACCTAGGAGTTGAGTGGAGTTTCAAAATGACTGAGATGCCTAAACCCCATTGATTTCAATGCGGCTTGCTTGTTTGGTTTCTAAAATCCTTGCAGGCGCCCATTTGCATCATGGTCCTTGAAAACATGGTCCTGCATGAATTGTCTCCAAGGTCATATAGGGAGAATTAGGAGATCCCATGTCTCCTGAGTCCCAGCCAAGTGCCTTAAACACAGCCATAACTTTCTTCTCAGACCCAAGAGCTAATCCTGCTTTTAAAATAATAACTTCTTATGTCTTTTTAATCTCTGCATCAGTT